TTCCAGATTCTGTCTGTAAGGCTGACACATTGTCCAGTCTTAAGACTGGGCTTAAGATGTTCCTTTTTGATAAATCCTATAGTTAGGGTTGGCTTAGCTTTCCTGAGCTATCCTTTAGTTTTGCTACTATAGGCTTAGACTGCTGGAGGACAAACTGACCACATCTCGTCACTCTGTTGCTGTCTTTACTTGCTCCACTCCACCTGTTTGTATTTGTAATTATTTCTATCATAACATGTTTGTTTGTTTTTTCTTTCCTCCTATAGAACCTGGACCTGTCATTCTGTGTCCATTCCTCCTTCCTGTCCTCTCAAACACCAGCCAGCCTAAGCAGATGGTTGCTTGTCCTGAGCCTGGTTCTGCTGGAGGTTTCATCCTGTTAAAAGAGTTTTTCCTGTCCACTGTCTCCTCTGTGCTTGCGCATGATGGGAGACTGTGATGAAGTGAAGACTCAACACAATCTGGTGCTTCCTTAGATAAACTTTTACTATTTTGTATATATATGAATGTTTATGTTCAGTGCCCTGAGATGAATTCTGTTGTGACATGGGGCTATATAAATAAACTGAACTGAATTGAATTTTATTCCACTCCTCTTTCTAAAGTTTCTTCAGTTCATTAAAGATGACAGACATTTGTTTTTGCTCATCTCTCTTGAGGTCCCACCACAACAGCTTCTGGACTTTAACTAGACCAATGAGGCATCTTGATTCTTTTGTTTTTCAGCTGTTCTGTTGTATATTTGCTGCTTGGTTTGGGATCAATGTTCTGCTGCTTCCTGACACAGTTTGGTCCAAGTTTCAGCTGTCAGACAGATGGACTCATATTTGACTCTAGAAGCCTTGAGTCTTCAGAGGAGTTCATGGTCGACTGCAAGGAGCCCGAACCATCAGCCCTCCACTACTGTGCTGAGAGTTGGAATGAGGTGTTTGGGCTGATGTGCTGTAGATATTCTCCAAACATGTTGCTGTGCATTATGGGTAAATCACTCTAATTTGGCCCTGTATGTTTAAAGGACGTTGGTCCAGAAGTATGTGGTTCATTCAGATGAATTCATGCTAAATGTTCTTTTTAGAAAAAAAGAGGACTTCTCCTGCAACCCTAACAAACAAGAACAACTCATACTTGTTTGGACTTTTTTATATTGTCCTGTCATGAATTTTGACTTTAACCTTCTAACTGAATCCTGTAGAGTCTCAGATAGAGCTCTTGAGAATATATTAATTTGTTTATTTATTTATTCATTCATTCATTCATTCATTTCTCTGAATAATGTACTTGTAGATTTTAGGGTAAAGACACACCTTTTTCAAATTGAAGGGCAACAATTTTTGCCTCTCTAAGGTCACTGCTGATGTCTTTCCATCTTGAAATTGTTTTAATACACACTTGTATGCTAAAGAATAACAAACTGACAAAATACCTACATTTATAGAGAAATGTCATATTTTTTCATCTTTGCATTGCAAATAATTTTGATATTAAATTTTTTGATACCATCAAGCTGGGGGGTTTCTGTCTCACTTCCTGTTTCTCTCACAACAAACACCTTTGTTGTACTTTAATGCCACTTAAAACTGAAAATAGTTGCAGAGTAAAATTCTACTGTGAGTGAACACCTGTGTCACCTGTAACGTGAATGTAGTGGAAGAGAATGAACAAGATTCTCAAAGAAACAATGTGGTGAAGAATCAAACTGAAGGAAGTACTGTAGTTGTGTGAAGTTTCTCTCACTTTATTTCCTGTTCTTTCTGGTCTGTTTAAATATCCATCCATTATCTTTACCCGCTTATTCCATTTTGGGTCACGGGGGGTCCCTGGTGCCCATGTCCAGCAATCACTGTGCGAGGGGCGGGGTACACCCTGGACGGGTCGCAAGTCCATCACAGGGACACATAGAGACAAACGAGAGAAACAAACATTCAGTCTCTCACTCACAGCTAGGGACAATTTAGAGTTACCAATCAGCCTAACATGCATGTTTTTGGTCTGTGGGAGGAAACCGGAGTACCCAGAGAAAACCCACGCATGCACGGAGAGAACATGCAAACTCCACCCAGAAAGACCCCTGGACCGGGGTTTGAACCAGGGACCAACTGAGAGGCAGCAGCTCTACCAGTTGTGCCACCGTGCTGCCCTGTTTAAATATTTTTGTTACATTTTCTAACTGTTTTTGCTCTGATCAACATCCCTTAGCTGCTCCTGAACATGCTGTCATGCAGCCTCTCCTGAAAAACAAAGGTCTTGACACAGCTGTGCCCTCAGACCAAAGACCAAGTCAAAGTGGCAAATGTTATGGGCAAAGAAGTTTTTTAAAAGCTTTAGAGATTTTTAATTGCTAAAAGCACAGAAGAAAAATGCCAGTCTAGTTTTCATTCGAGTCTCTGATGGTTTAAGGCTTTTAGACCTCTCTGCTTCATTTGATACATGAATCAAACTAAGGGTGCATTCACACCAGCCCTGTTTAGTCGCTTTAATCGAACTCTAGCTCCTTTTCCTAGAAAGTCCGGTTCGTTTAGGGAGGTGTGAACGTGCCATCGAACTCTGTCACGGAACAAAAAGGCGAACTCTGGCCCGGGCTAAAACCTAGGTCTTGGTCCGGTAGAAGCAAACTCCAGTGCGGTTCGAGTACAATGTGAATGCAAACAGACCGAGTCCCACTCCCCAGGGTAAACAAACACACATTTCTCTTACCTTATATGGAGCCGTCAGCTGCCTTGTGTGGAAAAACAATATTCTCCATGGTCTTCTGTCTCATCTTCTGCTCATGCTAAGTCCATTTTTGAAAAATGACAAAATGTAACTCCTAAAACTGCTAAAACTTGATGCCACTTCATTTTCATTTTTATTTACAGAAGAAGAAAAAGACGTGTCTTCAGAGGTTTTTGTGTCGTTTCTTTCAGTAGTTCTTGGTGCAGCGTCCCCACAGGCGAGTGGGGGAACAGGTTGGTTCAACAGGTTGACTCGACTGCACAGTGCAGTGTGAATGCAAACGCACCAGCTCAAATGTAAACAAAAGGTCATGAATATTGGTCCCGAACCGAACTGAGTCTACCAGACTATCTGGTGTGAAAACGACCTAACTGTCTTGGTTCGACCAAGTTGTTGGGACCATTTAGGTTTCAGATTTGGTTTATTTGTCATATGCAGAATCAACACAAGATCAACAATGCAATGAAATGCTCAGAACGAGAAGAACCATCTTGATTCGCCAACAAAAAAAAAGAAATACCAAAGCATGGAACGAAAATACAAAAACGTGTCAAAAGTGAAAAAGCGAAATGTGAAATACATCTAGTCAAAGTAAAAAAAAAGTCAAAGTTTCTTTATTTGTCATTCACACCATGTGAGGTACATGTGGTGGAACGAAATTGTGTACACAGGGTTCCAGTTACATCCAACAAAAGTATAAATTGTAACGAAAAGCAGTAATAAGAGCTAAGATACAAACTAAGAAATATGCTAAAACTAAGAACACACTGAACACTAATAGTATAAAAACAATGCACCAAACAACAGCAGCACAAACATGAGTCTGTGTGAGCAGATGAGTACGAATGAACACAGCAGTGTGAAATAAATCAGCAGTATAAGATCAGCAACATGGCTAGTCAGCAGCACATAATCAAGTAGCATTACAGTGATTTTCCTGGATAGAGATTCGAGTCTAACAGCCTCAGGGTAGAAACTGTTCCTCAGTCTAGTGGTTCTACACTTAATGTTCCTCAACCTTCTGCCTGAGGGAAGCGAGGCAAAAAGTGTGTGATGAGTGGGGTCCTTCATGATGCAGGTGGCCCTCTTCCTGCACCTGGAAGTGTAGATGTAGATTGATACAGCAGGATGGTCCTATTAGCAACATGGTACAGTTAGCAGTGTGGTTCTGTTAATGGCATGATCTTGCTAGCAGCGTTAGCAGGTCCTGTCAGCAGCTTGATGATAATAACGACCACAGCAGCTGCCCTCCCAGATTGCCCTCTAGAACCATGTCTGGCAGACACAGAACATCCAAGATTTTCTTGCGGAACCGAACTGTTACGTAGAGTTTGGTCTGTGCATGCAGATGGAGATCATGGAGATGGCCACCATGACAGGCCGGAGCATGAGCCCAAGGTTAGAGGGGTGCCGGGAACTGAACCATGATGGCACAATGGCAAAGCAGCGACACAGAAAACTCCAAAAGTGTGTCGCAGTCATACCCATAGCGTCGATGTGCAATATAGGCACAAAAAATAGTTACAACAAAAACAACAGGAAGAAAAAGAGCAAGTCGAATCGGAGCTCCCGTCAGTGTTAGCATTTTGCCGCGCACATGACATCACTGCCACATTTAATTGTGGTTTAAACTATAACCAACAGGAGTCTTTCTAATCATTTACAAATGAATCTTTTTCAAATTGGACAAAACATCATGTGCAGTTGTAAAATGTCTTTATTTTTTGCTAATAAGACTTGTTACCAGGTTGAATTTTCACTTTTGAGGGGGCATTTAACTCTGACCATCAAGGACAGTGTCATGTCGTTCAGTATGAGATCCAAAAGTGCTGATGGTGCTTGTGCTGTTTCTGGATTTTATTTTAACTTCCCCATCCTCATTTAAATGTTCTTGTTTTTTTTGTTGTTGTTTTATTTCATTGCTCTTTAGCATATTTTAAAATTTTATTTGAATAAATTGTAAAGTACTTTGGTTAACTACATATTGTTGTTTTTGTGTGTTGTAGATTAAAACTGATATTGAAATTCTAAAATTGTGACTGGAACCATTTTTTTAGAATTGAAAGCTGAGTTAATATTTTATGATTTAAAAAAATCAAAGTATTTCTAAAAATGTGGAACAAGGGAAAAAAAATCTATTTAAACTGTATATAATGTGCCAATCAAAATGCTCACCCTCTCAACCGTTTATGCTCCATTTATTCATTCACCAGCGCACTCTTGTGGTTTTGATATGTAATTATGTTAATCACGCACATCTAAACTTAGTAACTTTGGTTCATACCTACCTTTCTGATGGGGATCACAACCAGCGGCTTGTCCTCAGTCTCCAGCTCCTCTCGACTCTGATAACAGAGAAGAGCTTGTCCTCTGAGGATGCAATTGAAACGTTTCCAATCATCTGAGTCCTCTTCAAGCTGAGTGAGAGCATAGAGTAAATCAAGACTGAAAATCACAAAGATGTAATACTTGGTTTTTTTTGGTTAGGTTTTTTTTTAACAAAATGTGACAAAATCTATAAAAATGTATTAACCTTGACTTGGAGCTGCCCACTGATTGCTGGCTGAAGCATGCACTGAGGCTGAGCAACCAAACGACAGCACACATTTCCAAAAAGAGGTAACCAGAACGGACTGTCCTCTGGAAAACAAAGACAAGATTGATTTTAAACAAGAGACTAAAGTAAATTGAAACAAATTAATTACATTAGTCTTGAACAAAATATGTGGAAAAAAGTGAAATTAAGTTGTTACAGCTTAACACAAGCTAAAAGTTAAAAGGAGTAAAAGGCTTGAACAGCTAAAAGTAGAAGAACTTATTAGAAGCAAGTCTTTATTTCTTTTTATTTGCTTTATAAAAAATAAATTGGTAATATTAATGTGTTGTATACTGAGGTCTATATTTCTAGTAATTTCCAAAACAAACACAAAACTACTCATGTTTTCACTATCATTTGTCACAAGTTTTTGAAAACTCAAGTTTTAATTAAAAATGCTAGCTACACGTAGCTTAAGCTACTACAGATATCTAAAAAGTTAAATCTGGTCCTCTGGACATTCAACAAAAACAAAACAAAGCAAAACAAAAAAAAGTGTAGAAACATTTTGTCTTTCATCCGAAAGACTTCCTCAGTCTGAGGTGCTGTATTCAGCTCATTCTCTTAATAGCACCTTCTCAGAGTGGATCAACCAGTTTGCTGCTGACAACCAAAACCAGCTGCTCACATGCTCAAGAAGGACCATCAGCCTAACAATGGATCATTAGCACACTGATCATTGTTTACTGTTCACAGAGGGCTGAGTGATACTAGCAATCACAGCATTGTAAGAGGGGGACAGTTGAACCCGGAGGCCTCCACCCCTGTTTAATGATGGATGATTTCTTTTCACAAAGATGGCCTCCTTTACTCCTCTCTCAAACCATCGTTCCTCTCTATCAAGGATGTGAACATCTTCATCCCTGAAAGAGTGACCGCTGGCCTGGAGATGAGTGTAGACCGCAGAGTCCTGACCTGATGTTGTTGCTTGATTCACCACTTGCGATCACTTGCGATTCAACCTCATATGTCGACAAAGTGGCATCATTCCCAAGAGCCTGGAACTAAAATCTTCGGTCAGCAGGCACCTGGCAAGCAATATCCTTCAGAAGGCACAGACCCAGCTACTGAATGAATGGATGAGACAGACCAATTTTACTACTGAGGCCTTGAAGGCCAAAGAAGAACACATTAAACAAAAACAAACAACGTGCCTAGATCAGACCACACTTCAGCAAGTGATGGACTGTACAGATCAGGCACGCTTAGCACAGCATGTCAAGTCCAAGACTCAACAACGAAACAAGTTTAACTTACTAATAACTCATCAACACCATCACTATTCCAATAACAACACATCCAGTGTAAGACAACACTCCAGTAGACAATTACATGCCAGGGAGACAGAAAAGTGGGTGAAGAATTTATTTGACAGACAGCTCACCCAGCCAGAAACAGAGATTCTTGCCAGGGGACTGAACTTTGCGGTTGCACCAAGTAGAATTCCTCTGGTGGAGATGATCACAGCCACAGAATCAGCCATCCGCAACAACAAATTTAAAGAGGCTGAAGCAGAACAGAGGGATGCACTCACCACTCAGCAAGGACAAAAACATCATCATTCTCCCAGCAGATCAAGGAAGGTGCATAGTGATTTTGAACCAGAAAGACTATCATGAGAAAGTTATGACACTCCTTAGTGACTTAAACACTTATGAACCTCTGAAAAGAGATCCAGGAAGTGGTTACAAGAAGAAGTTGATAGATTGCCTGAAAATTTTGGAAGAGGACAAAGCTATTGACCGTTTTCTGTACCACAGACCCAGGGGAAGCCACACCTAGTCTGTATGGTTAATAATAATAATAATAATAATCATTTTATTTAAAAAGCACCTTTCAGGACACCCAAGGACACTTTACAGTAAGAAACATATCATAAAGATTGTGTTAAAACAAACAAACAAGCACAGTGCAAAGATCAACAGGAATAAATTACATACAGAATATAAAATACATAAAGAATATAAAATACATACAGCAAAGTTAATGATAAGCGAGTCTAAAGAGATGTGTTTTCAGAGCAGTCTTGAATAGAGAAAGAGAGGTGGTGTTCCGTAAGTCAGGGGGTAGAGAGTTCCAGAGATGAGGGGCAGAGCATGTGAAGGCCCTGCTCCCCATGGTGGAGAGGCGGGCAGAGGGTACATGGAGGTGTAGTGAAAAGGAGGATTTGAGAGAGCGAGAGGGGATGGAGATGTATAGGAGGTCAGATAGGTACGGAGGGGCAAGGTTGTGGATAGCTTTGAAAGTGAGAAGAATAATTTTGAAGACGATGCGTGATTTAACCGGGAGCCAGTGGAGCTGCTGCAGGACTGGAGTGATGTGGTTATAGGAGGAGGCTTGAGTTATGACATGGGCAGATGAGTTCTGGACCAATTGCAGCTTCTGGAGAGATTTGTTAGGGAGGCCATAAAGAAGGGAGTTGCAGTAGTCAATCCGAGAAGTCACAAGACTGTGCACAATGATGGCTGTGGAGCGGGGTGTGAGAGAAGGGCGGAGCCGGTTAATATTTCGGAGATGGAAATAGGCAGACCGAGTAACATTGTTGATGTGTGAAGTGAAGGAGAGAGTGGTGTCGAGGCTGACACCAAGACTCTTGACCTGACGTGAGGGGGATAGCAGAGAGTTGTTAAGGGGATGAGAAGATGTTCTGATTTTGAAATAGAGTTTTTGGTACCGACAAGAATGATTTCTGTTTTGTCACTGTTTAGGTGTACCTTTAAGACCAAATGTTAGCATGATTAACTCTGTCACTTACAATGTTTCCAAATATCTAATATCTGTACTCGTCTCTTTAGTTGGCAGCTCAGAACACCACATACAGAACACCATGGACTTTGTGGATAAGGTGAGGGATGTCATTTTGGAGACTGATGAAACAATGGTGTCTTTTGATGTCACACGATCTTTACGTGCATTCCTGTTGATGAGGCAGTAGAGGTAGTCAGTTTAAGATTAAAATCAGACACCACTCTGAGCAGCAGGACCACGCTTTCCACAGAAAAACTGTGTCAACTCTTGAAACTGTGCCTTCAGTCAACCTACTTCACATATGGGGAGCAATAGTATAGGCAGAAACATGGGTGTGCTATGGGGTCTCCAGTTTCTCCTATTGTTGCCAACCTGTACATGGAGGAGGTAGAAAAGAGAGCCTTGACGTCCTTTTCAAGAACACCACCAAGTCATTGGTTCAGGTATGTTGATGACACCTGGGTTAAAATTAAATCTTAGGAAGTCCAACATTTTACAGACCACATCAACTCTGTGGATAAATACATCAAGTTCACACGAGAAGATGTAAAAAATGGCAGGTTGGCTTTCTTGGACTGTGCTATTTAAGAGACTGAGCTGAATACAGCACCTCAGACTGAGAAAGTCTTTATGATGAAAGACAAAATGTTTCTACATTTTTTTTGTTGTTGTTTTGCTTTGTTTTTGTTTGTTTTTTTTATGTCCAGAGGAGCAGATTTTACTTTTTTGGGGTTTTCAGATAATGTTCTTGAACTTTGTTTGCTGGTTCATAAGACATTTTGCTAACAGTCAGGCAAACACATACTACTAAAAACATGATCACCTGCCTTTCACCCAAGTGATAAACAAAACAAATGACAAGAATACAAGAATCAAAGATAAAAAAAGAAACAAATGTTACCTGTTGCTGAAAGTGTTAAGTCATGTGTTTTGAATCCATCTCTGACGTGTTCAATTCTCAGAGTTGTGTGAGCCAATAGGTTAAACTTGGGCCCCCTTCAGATAGAAAACAGTCAACACACTTTGATTTTATAACCCATTTTAAAGTGCCTATTTTAGGAAGAAAAGTCCCGCTCACGGTGTAGAGAGGTGCAACGGTAACGATGGGGTGACATGTCCAGGCCTCACATCTCCAACACCACAGGAAGCTGCAGACTCCACAGCAAAACGGATCTTTTTGCCTGAAGTGCGTCCCAAAGATCCTCCCAGGAAGCTTATCCTTCTAGGGCCAGGGACCCCCCAGGAGGAATCCTCCTTAGCACAACTGCTGTACAGCTCAACACGAAGCTGGAACTCAGGACCCACCTTGTTGCTGCACTCACAGAAAGAGGAAATCAGATATTAAAAACAAGATTGATCTAGATTTGTTTATTTATTTATTTTCAATTTATCAACCTACAAAATGGCTTTGTCTTCAAAGCAGATGTCAGTAAGTGTTCTATCCACCATTACTAGATCAGTGTCATAAATGTCTGTGCCACACTGCAGCAGACAGAACACAGCACAGCGATGAAGCTCTGAAAACACACACACACAGAAAATCAATTCTACATCAATTTTAAGTATTTTAGGAAATGGTTGTTTTTGTGGCATGCAACAATGTTTTTCTCATGCCTGTGTGTGTGTGGGGGGGGGGGGGGGGGGGTTGTTTTGGGTGGGTGTTTGTTTGTTTATGTTACTTTGTAAGGCCCACTTTTCCATCTTGTACTACACTGTAAGGACCGAGGGCTCCTTACGGGGCCCAAAGCCCGGGCCCCATAAGATGAAGTGCCATTGGTGGGTTAGGGGTTAGGTTTAGGACTAAGGTGTGAATTGAGAATGTGTTAGGTTTAGGGTCAAGGTCAGGTTTAGGCTATGGAAATGAATGGAAGTCAATGCAAAGTCCTTGTAAATGTAGCAAAACAAACCTGTGTGTGTGCGTGTGTGTGCTGTGTGCACGTGCATTTTTTTCAGGTTACCTTGTAGGGACCAATTTTACCAAAAAGTATACATTGTGGGAACTGCTCTTTATGGGGACCAAAGCCAGGTCCCCATAAAGAGAGTCTCATTGGGGGATTAAGGGTTAGGTTTAGGACTGAGGTGTGAATTGCGGATGAGTTAAGATTAGGCATGTACTAGTAATGGTTAGGTTTAGGATAAGGTCAGGGTTAGGCTATAGAAAATGAATGGAAGTCAATGCAAAGTCCCAAAAAAATAAGTTTAAAAGAAACGTGCTTGCATGTGTGTATGTGTGGGGGTGATTGTGTTTGTTTATTTCTGTTATATTTGGGGACTTGAACCAGCTTACACAGCAGTCATTTGGGTACACCTAAACCACTCAGAAAGAGATGTCCCCTAAGGTGGGTTGATAAAACATGCGCCCCAATGTGAACATAAGTTACGTGTGTGTGTGTGTGTGTGTGGGGGGGGGGGGGGGGGTCAACAATATATCTCCTGTACAACTAGAGAAATTTTAATGATAATTTTTGCCAAAAGTAATGCCTGGATATATATCTTTAACTGTTTAATTTTTGGAGCGAGTCTGATTTAAGATTGATACTAAAAACCAACTCAATTTTAATAACACAAGAATATAAATTTTACAGGTACAGTATTGACTAAAATGTTGGTGTGGTAGTATAGGTGAGATTGATCCCAAGCAGAAGTTCTGAGCACTAACAAAACACACAAGATCTTTGTTTAAATTTTTGACAGCACCGTTTTGAAGTAAACTCTATCTGTCTGTTGGCAAAATATTTCAAGTGTCACAAACTTAGTCTAATGAAACTTTCAGAAGACAATCATTTAATGTTTATCTACAGCTGATTAGCGTTTGGAGCCAGTGCAATTCAAGATGGCTGCTACAGCTAACTGACTTTAGAAATAATAAAAATAGCTATAACTCAGTCATTTTTACATCAATTGAGCTAAAAAATGTATTATTAAAAGTACTAGTAGTAGATGAAAGTCAACTATAACACATAATTTTAATGATAATAGGAGAATACTTTCACGCCTGTCCCACAAATTACAACAAAAACATGTGACGCGGACTGTGTCATTTGTCATTGTCCAATCAGCTTTTTGTATTCCAGTCAGAAAGTGTTATTTTGGACAGGAAAACATTTGAAAAGTGTATCAGTACACCTGCTCAGTAAATATGGCTTTATTTTGAGGATTTAAAATCCGGAAGCAAAAGAACAAAAAAAAGAGAGATTTTCAGACTGTGCTTTCCAAAGATGAGGGAGTGGTGGTGCAGAGGTCAGAGAAGATGAGCCTATGATTGGAAGGTTGCCTGTTCCAATGGACTGACCATCAAAATTTGAGTGGGGAAGGTGATGCACCCACACTTGTCTCCACCCTCATCTGCACCACTCTGTGCCATTCAGCAAGGCTTTTTATATGTTGTAAAAAATAAAAACAACTGCCAAATCTTTGTTCAAGTTCACAAGCTGTGGTGATATTTGAAAAAGGGAACAGCCAAATAAAGAAGAAAAAATGTTTTTCAAACATGGGTGATAATTTTGGTCTTTTCTTGATGGTAGAGTGAATCTTTGTCAAATTATGCTGAAACTTATAGTTTTGTAACCTGTCAAATCTCTGCTTTCCACAGACATGCTTGGCTGTGGTGTGTGACAGCTGTGGGATGAAAGATAAGATAGAACTTGATTGATCCTGCAGGAAATTGAATGATATATAGCTATTCATATATATAATAATACAGCTGTATATAGGAATATATTCCTATGTATTCCTACACAGATTAATATATTCCTATTTATAATAATATATAGGAATAGCTGAGACTGAGTTTTGCACTCATGTCATTTTGTGTAATTTGTTTACTTGGCAACTTTTTGCTGTTTTATCTGTGTTTGGTGAGCATAGGAATGGTTATATGATCTTTTGCCAATATTCTGATGTTTCTGTGGATATCACACATCTATGTTTAAATTATAGACATCGCATTAGCAGTAGTAGAAAACAGGAAGTACAATTCTAACACTGCTACTGGGGGTGTGGACCTTTCCATTTTCTGTGATATTGTCTTGTCTATAAATTCTGAAACCTGAGAGACTTTAACATTATCCTTTATTTCTACATTACCGCCTTTGTTTTTGAAGTACTCTGAGTCTTTCCACATGAGGGGAATTCGCAGGTCTGCAGAACACAGGTGATAAAAGTCAGACATTTCAAACTTGCTGCAGCTAATTCAGGAAATATTATGACTAAATCTTTGGCTGCACTCACCTGAAAGTGAGACTCTCCCAGTGCAAGGCAGCACATCTTCAGATGTTCTGCTGTGAAAGCATTGATCAAACATTGAACAACAACACATGCAGAGGATGGACAAAATACAGCAGGGTGTAAATGTATTTAACCTGTTTGATACTTTTTCTGTTTTGATGGGTTACGAACTGAAATTTATTAGAATTTTCATTAACCAACAAATGTTCTCCAAATAAAATACAGAAAATAACTTATTTTGAAGAATTTAAAAAACTAAAATCAAAGTGAATGCTTGCTGAATTTGAAATTGTGTTGCTAAAGCTATAAAAATGTATAACTCTAGTTAAAAGCTAAAATGGAACAAGCACTACACTGATGTTCCCTGTCGCTGAAGGGTTTGAATAGTGAATGTTTGTAGTTTTTGAGATGAGTGTTTTTCTAGACTGGAACTGAACAGGAAATTCAAGTAAACCTTAATCAAGATATGCAAGTGGGTAGGAGTTACACTATGTAGAAGAACAGAGGGTTTTTTTTGTTTTGTCCAAGGCGGTACAGAGTGATGAATCCTGGTGAGCTGAGGGAGCAATTTTATCCACCATCAGGTGCAATGGTGGCCTTGGCCAACATAGATTAAACTTTTTCCATCCCAATCATTTGAGGAAAATATACTTTTTGGGAAAATAATAACTAGAAAGCATGGTTTATTCAAATTATATGGGTGACTGGTTTACAATATTGGATTTTGATGTAGCTACTTTTCTAAAAAAAAAAAAAACTTTCTTACACCTTCAAAACAGCCACACATTAAAAAGGAAGTTGCCCCATTGCTATTTTTTTTAGATATACAGCTCAAAAGGTTTACAT